AAACTGTACTCGTAGTCGACTACGAGTAGACTAAGATCACCTTCACACTCTATTCTCAGAAAAGTGCCAAGATGCTTAAGTGTGTTTTCTATGAAACCTATGGTTTCATGGTGATACGCGGTGGATTGCAACTCTTTAATTTCGTTTCGTTTCTGACATAATTTCGTTGAGAAATTCCGTTCCCTGATCAGTTATAATTTCCCTAGGAATTCCATATCTTAGAATAAAATTATCTACAAAAGCTCTTACAACCGATTCAGCGTTTTGGCGCTGTAATAGATGACACACACGGTCAGTTCAACTGATCAGTTCAAACTAAGAATAGTGATATTTTTTAAAATATCGGTATTTCGGTGTATTGATAATTATTAAATACATCAATATCGGAGTTATTTTGGATATATCGAAAATAATTCATTATAGAACTTTATTTTAACATTCGACTTAAAATATGAATGTAAACTTAATAATTTTACTAAGGAAACTTAAAGGCATCACTTAAATAAGATTGCTCTGTTTAAGGGCCAATATGTTGATGAGGCTACTCTCTCTTTCATCTGTATATGAAAAATATACAGTAACAATAAAGTTATTATCATTTTAGCTGCATGAATTTTAAAAACAATGATCTTAAAAGAGATTAGCCAAATACACCCTCGGTACACAGTCATCGGGTATCAAGCATGCATTTATAATTATAAAAAAACCAAAGTTGAGTTCTTGATCCCATTTTTTCTAAATAAAGTATCGAGAAGGAATCTTTTTGACAAATAGCAAAATAAAATTACGTTTTTGATCGCCAATCGATCATTTAATTTCATCCCTCTTTTTCTTCTGTGGGCAAGTCTATCGATGCTTTATAAAAATTCTATATAAATATCGACATTAATTTTGATATAATTGGGTCAATTCCCACCGTACATGTAAAATAACAAAATTTCTAAATTAATAAAATAATTGAAAATATTTTATAATAACAGAATAGGTATATCATAAATTTTAACCAAAAATAGACGCGTCATAACATAACTAACGACGTCTTGCGAATTTACCTGTGAAATTTGAGGATTATTTCCATTATTGACAACACAGTCACTCACAGAACATTCAACCATTTTGGGAAAAATATATATAACAAAAATTAAAATAAAAATACCAAATATCTACGAGCTTATTTCTTGCGTGCCGACCTGTTGTAGGCCATACAAATACTTGTTCCATGCGGGATTCGAACTCGAGGTTTTTAGCGTTGTAATTCAATTGCTAAGCCGCTGCGCCACAGAGCTGTCAAATTTTATTTTGTTTATATAAAATAACAAAATGATTTAATTAAAATAAAATTACATAAATAATGGTAAAAATATAGACATGGGATACTTGCGTACAGGGGTGGGACAGGGGTTGGGAGAGGGGAGAGTTCAGGGAAACCCCCCTACACTTCCCCCCTTGTGGAAATATATAGTTTATGAAATTACGAGTAATGATTTTTTTGTAAAATCGACCTCATTTTTACACAGGAATAATCATAAAGTTACTTCAGCAACAGCTTTGGCGCTGCGGGAAGTGCAGTCCCTTCGCCCTTGCGTAGTAAATGAGAGCAAATAATCTTACGCTCACTAGATGTCGCTAGTTGACATTGACGTGAAGTTTTTTGTTACACAATGTCATTTAATTGATATTTTAGTTTTTAATAAAAGTTTATCAGTGTCTAGATTACTATATTAATACACAAAACAATGCCTCTGTGGTTTTTTTCTTTGATTGTTTGCACATTGTTAACAATTTTTTGATTTTTCTATTTTAATTAATATCCGTGGTTTGGTTTATTTATTTTTAATCTAATTAATACAAAATATAACTAATGGTACAGAAAGAAACATTAGCCTTTACAATTTTCGAACAAATTAACTTCTCGACTAAGAAATCTGTCAAAATATTACACCTCATTTTAAGTGGCGCCGCCCTGGTGGCAAAAATATTCGTGGATACCCTCATTGCAGGCACTCATGCTCACCTGCGCTGCTTCGGCTTATTGGCGGGGGCCGCACTTTCTCCACGCTTATGGCTTTACAAAAATACTATGTATGGGTAAGGCAGACAAGGCTACGAGAAGTCGGGGCATGCTGTTTCGGTTTTAGAACAGATTCAACCAATCTTACCTATAAAGTCAAGTTGCCCTAAACTCTGCTATGATAGTGGTAAATGAAACAATATAATGTGAATTGTTATAATTTTGTTTTCTGAAAAACCTCTTAGCTTCTCTCTACCGAGACGAAACGTGTAAGACGAGACTCATGTTACAATTGTTGTACATGAGTCTCGTCTTAGCCACAATTGGATTGTCTGGGTCCGAGTAATACATTTTTTCATGGGTGTATCTGTGTTAAAAAACAAATTGACATATTTTATTATATGCAATTATTAGTGAGATTTATTTTGGTCGTAATTAATTCAAAAGGCATTTGCAAAATCCAAAAACAGTGTAAAAAGTATGAGCTTAACCCTGAAAAACCTAAATTGAAAACAAAATTAAAAAATCAAGTACTGGACGTCTACTTCATATTACTAGACCAAATTGACATATTTGCATTTTGTTATAAGAACTTTTTAGTGAAATTTATTTTTATCGTAATTAATTCAAAACACATTTCCGACATCTGAAAACATTGTAATAGGTTTAAGCTTATTCTTAATTGAAGAAGAAGATGCACTGTGATATTTATGTATATAATTTTATGTAAATAAATGAATGATATACACAATATATGCTATTAAAATATATAATGTTATATAATGACTTTTGTCATTGATGAATAATTGAAATGTTTCCCTGTAATACAAAATAAGTTTCACTCCTAGCTGCTCCGGTATGGAGTGCCACCGAACCCTTGCAAGAACACAAAGTTTCCTTGTGGCTGTTTTGGCTCTGAACTCAATGACCCGCCTATAGTTGAGGTTCAGAGAAAATTCAACCCTTAACAACTGAAGGCGGTCAGTGTACTCCAAGAATACATTCCGGAAAGTAGGAGCCAGAGTGAGCGAGCTTCTTTTAGCAGTGAAAAGACACACTTGTGTTTTGGAGGCGTTGAATACCACGAGATTTGCATCACTCTATTCGGAGACTGCCTGTAGTGTGAGATTAATACGCTCAACCATAGCCTCTCTTTCGGACTGGATTTGATCCCGACTGGCCGAGGCACTTGGTTGGTATCCTCCACAACCGTGTTATCGTCTGCACACGCATAGATCCCAGGCATAAGCAGGTCATTAATAGTATGCAGCATACAATTTATAATATAGTTCCGCATTGTTTTTTGCCTTTTGCGTGACACTTAAGGCAACTCTATTTACTGCAGATTTACCTGATTTGTACTAGCCGCTGATTTGGCTCCGGTGGAAGTAGTGGTCGAATCCGATGCATTACCTATGGCAGATGTACTCGGAAGTACCAAATTTTGTTCAATAGTCGTCCTTTGAGTTTTTGGAGTAGTGGTTCTTTGCGCCAAATAAATTGAAGAATGCGATCTCTTCAAATGGAAACTTTGGTTGCCTCTATTAGATTTATACGACAATGTTAGTTGACAATATTTACAAACAGCAAGGTACACGGAGTTGTCTATTTTATCGAAGTGAGACCATAATTCACTAGCCTTACGCGACATTTTGAAAGTCTATTTACAAGTGATAAAAGTCTAAATCAAAACTATACTATACAATATTTTCACTTTACACATAATTGTTCGGAACTAAAGTACAAAATGCACACAAATATTGCAAATAAATGTACAAACGCAACGTCAAAAATTAATAATTTTATAGATATTATTATCTTGGTGAACGACACGGTCTATTGTCCTAAAGATCATTCAAATTTTACAACTCACACAACTACACAAACTTAAAAATTAGGCAATTTCAACCGCTTTAAGTAATTATATTCACTATGTACATTGTGCAACGTGTGTAAAAACTACCAAAACGTCACATCGAAATCCATATTCGCTTCATCTCTTTCTATACCAATATATAATACCGTTGTAAGAACAAGAAACAACGAATATCAACGAAAGACACCGGTTAGTTCGTGGGCTGGTTGGCATATTGTTCCAGTTTCCGCTTTAAGTTTTTCGTATGATTTGGTTACTCGGTTTTGTGGTTGGATATTATGTGCTTACGGTTATGTACTTAGGTTTATCGATACGATATGATATTTTGATAACATAACGTTATTAATTACGTTTTGATCATAGAATTATCTATTACTCGGTAGCTTTGAGTATTCAACCATAGATAAATAAATATGTAGCAAGCTATATTCAACCAATAACAAAAACCGACTGGTTTAATTAATACTTAATACGTAATAGTGTTCTGTGCTTAATACCAGGCCCGGTCAACTCTGTATGGACAGAATGAAATACCTACGGGGGCTGAATTTTATTATTGCCATTTGTCAGATAAATGTCTTGTTTCATAATTAGTAAGATTTTGCTAAAGATAAATTACACCCAAAAATTTTGAATACAGAAATAAGAATCAATAGGAAGATAACTATGCCTGTCGTATTTTTCTACATTATTATATTAGCATATCCTTGACAGTAAAAGAAAAATAAATGTTTTCTTTTTGTTTTGATTTTCAATGAGTAGAAAATTATATTTTTTACTGGTAACACCAAATACCTAAATGAGTATATATTTCTCTTTTCTCATAATATGGCGTCGCCGTATAAATTATTGTTGTTCATGATTGGTTGTTATGTTTGTTTTGCTTGTGTCTTTTACTAAGATTTTGCAAGTTTACGATGTTGAGTTGAGATTAATGTCCTTCATTTATATGATGTGCAATGTGTTAGTCAATGAATCGTAGTGAAATACGAAATAGTGACTCTTAAAAACTACGCTGCAATGGCGGATAAAGAAAATAGAAAAAGTGTTCTAAGTGCAACAGCATACCAACCATTGACAACGTTAAATTATTTAGGTTTCCGAAATTCGCAGTAAAGTATATTTTGCGGTACGTATACGATATACATATACACTATTTAATAAGTTCTAACCTTAAAGTAAATCTCTTGTCCAACTTATTGTTTCTCTTTTACCATTTAAAAACAAATTATTGGTTTGTAAACCATTAATTTGTTTTTAACCTACTTTGATAATATTTGTATTTAATAATTATATCTTTTGTTTTCAGTTGTAAATTATGGGCGAAATATTATATTCCTTCCCAAGAGCAGTATACTACTTTAGCTTTCCAAAGCTACATAATAAGCCCAGAATGCTGTGTGAAAAACATTTTCATGATGGTTAATTTAATGATGCAACCAAGAAAAAGCTCTTAAGCACTGCAGTCCCATGTGATGTAAGTAAAGTGTATAATGTATATGGTAATATGGTATGTATATAGTTTTCTTTAAGGATTACTCAGATATTTTATATGGGGATTACTATATTCAGGAGTGGACTTTGATAGACTGTAAAGAAGATGATGATTATTCATATGACCATCATCTGGATCTAACATAGATGGACAGACCACATACAGTAGTTTGAATCCTGTTAATTCTTTCAACTAATTTATAATAATTGGATCGGACAAAGCATCCAAAGGATTGAAGTCTATAAAGTTAGCACAAGCCTTTCCTTACATTATTAAAAGTGCAACACACTGCATATTATTTTTAACAATCAAATTTTATTTTAAATCAACAACAAATCTTAAGAAAGTTCCGGCATCACAATATATGAATAATTACATTTCGTCCTAAACCTATCAAATTTAAAGGCACAACTTGTACAACACAGTAGAAATACATGCATCAAATGGTTCTCAAACATTAGATAAACACAAGATTTCTTTTCACATAGTTATTGTATTTACTATCTTATTTTGTTATATTAATTGTAATAGTGGGCGTATTATAGAGCAAGTTGGATGAACAAGATCCATTCATTTATTTTGTATTGGTAGAAGGGTAATGTAGTGCCATGAGTAGGGACTGATTTACTATGAAAGTAATGTCAATGAATATAATGTTAATTTTATTTTATATAATAATTTTATGATACTATAATTTATGATTAAAACTAGTTTTACGGATTTTATCGCGTTTATTTTTACTTTTTATTTACTTTTATTTTTAATAATATTAAAAATAAAAGTAAAAAAAAGTAAGTCGATAAAATCCGTAAAAGTAGTTTTAATCATGTATAGTGTTCGCGTAAATATAAGAAATCATTACTATAATTTATTTCAGTTTTTATTTATTTCCAGACTAACAAAGTGTATTCCCATTTTATTTTGTGGAATCACAAGCTGGTCCCTCGCAAATTATTGCTGCAAAACCACAAGCAGGATCTTCAAAAAGGACAACATTATATCCACTGAAGAACAAACATCAAAGCATAACACATAATGTTGAACCTGAAAAAGAAAGTATGTATATCTATATGAAATTTTTTAAAATGAAATAAGAAATATTTTTGTAATCTAATATTTAATATGTTTTATAATTTTGAATTAAAATTATTCTATTTATAAGCTGCATTCAATACTTAATATATTGCATATAATATAGAGACAAAATTTTTAGTGTCAATTCAGGGAAATAGATAGACAACCAAATATTATCAAAACACAATTATTATTTGTGAATGTTGCACTTTGCACTTGTGTGTAGGAGCTTATTTATTAATTAACTTGTTTTAGATTAAAATATTGATATTTTGGTTATTGTAGACAATCATTGTGCATATTATCAATTCATCCATGATTGTAAATCTTATTTCAATTCTTTATCATTGTTTACTTAAGTAATTGAAATGTTGTAATCATTATTGATTTTCTTTTCATGTTTAAACCCATCAAATGTCTTTATAGAAAGAACTAAGCTGCTGGAGAAATTGTTTCTTAAGTTATGTATGTTTTTTATTTCAATTTGTATTTTTATTTTGAATAAATAAATAGAAATTTTGTAATTTTTGTTCTTTTATTTAGCGCTGGGATAGGAAACCCAAAAATACCTCAAATAAAAAAAACAAAAAAGACCACATTCAAATTTTCCCGCCACACGAGAAGTGCAGGAGGCTGACGATAGATGGCGCTAGTGGTTATATATCTCATTTCTTAAATTTTGTATGAAGTTGTCGTTCTTCTCCGATAGGAGTAATAGTGTTCTGTGCTTAATACTCAAAGTAGGCATGTCGCATGTCGATCTAAAATTGAATAATCGAAAAACCGATTCTTTGGAGTAAAATAATTGATTTTTTAGATCGCTTCGGAGCACCGCATCGATTCACTGAATCGATCCAAAAACCTCTCGAATCGAACTGATTCATCTGATTCAAGAACTAGCGATAAAATTCCCAAAGTGGCTGGAGTAAGATACCGCAGTTTTTTAATCTTTTGCTGTTGAGGGACGCAAAAAGAATCGGTCGTACTTGTTGATAATTTGAACGCAATATATGTTTGAATAAAATAAATATTTATAAACGCATCCAACAATATCGAAAAGTTGTCATTTCATTTTCATTTCTAAAATTCTAATTCTAATCTTACCTGTGGAATGTTGGTCTAAATTAATCTGTGCTGTGAACAAAGACAACATATACATACTACAATGTATAGGAATCCTAATTTAAATATATGTTTGTAAAGTATTTTAAAACTTCAATATGAAAATTATATTTTATTCATGTCATTATATTACTTAAAACTAATATGACAAAAATTTACTTATATATTGTTTGAAATAATATAATAGCTGTGAACCTGTTCGAACTGTGAACTTGTGAATTTACTTTATTTATTATCAAAAAACATACATACTGTGAGCTGTAAGTACAGACAGTGTACTTTTTAAATACCTAGATATTGTAAATAAATATTATACGTTGAAGTTTATAGAGGTTTATAGTAAAGAAATAACCAGTATTGTGTTTTTGTAGCATTCATTTCAATTTGATAAATAGTGAGTTATTAGATTGAAACAGATTTATCGACAAATGTACGTTGCAGTTTGCCATTTTGTTAAAGTATTGTTGTTGTTTTTAGCCTAAAATGTCAAATAAAAGTGATACATGGAATCACTTAAAGTAAAAAAAAGGATCGAGTGGCGTACTACTCCTAACACAAGCGTTTCAAGCTTACCAGGAGTGGTTAAAAGTAATATTAGTAATGTTAATTAATAAGATTACTAATATTTAAAAAAAAATATTAAAGTTCAATTAAAGAAAAAAAATCGCAAATTCTTGAAATTTCATGCTTGAAAATGTCGCGATTAATCGAAAATCGATCTTTTAATCCTCGATTTAATCGTTTCTAGTATCTTCGATTCAAATCGATTCAGAGATCGATTTTTTTAAGTGAATCGACATGCCTAACTCAAAGCCCGGTACCCCGGTAGAAATGCAATAGTACAAAATACAGGCGTCATCAAAGTCAAAGTCAGTCAAAGTCAGTCAAAGTGTACTCATGGACATAACCATGAAGGTTAAGGAACAGGAGAACGATCACTACGTACTAAAGCATAGCCCGCCTGTTCTTGAAAATTGTAGAATGTATAGCGGCGCTGACGTCGGTGAGTAGTACTGCGAAGTTATCTGTTTATGAGTACAAGTAGATGAAGTTAGTTGAATAATGTACAAATTTTCATTTCATTTTTAATGAGAAAATTTTCATACTCAGTAATTTTGTAATTTTTGAGAGAAAGAAACATTAAAAAATGGAGAAATATTTTATTGTAAGTGGATGTGCAAGTGGTTTAGCATCTGATCGGAAAAATAGACTCAAAATGACATTTATTGACCGAACCTCGAGCGATCGCAGCGCCTCACTTATGGTGTCCATATATCTGGACACTATTTTCTACGGTGATGGTTCTCCTGTTGTCTAACCGTCTTGGATATAACCTTCATGCTCATGGAGGTTAAAGAAGGAGAGCGATCTTTTTTATATTAACTGGCTTTACGGCTCTTGGTTCTAACCCTTCTGAGCCTATCATTTCTTTCGGAATCTTCATTTTTATATTATTTTTCCTTCACAATATGCCTTTGCGTCACATTGCGAAGCCCATGGGAAATTTTGACGACAGCTCAACCCAGCAGACAGTTAATGACGACAGCCACTCAAGTTCATGAGGCGCCCAAGCGATCAAAATAACTTGAGGTTTATATCGACATCAAAGCATTTGTTTTATCGTTTTCTCCAATAGTTCAGACGCGCAGACACTTAATTTATAAAATCGAATCACTTTTATCAATCTACTTCATATCATTAGTTAAGCGACAAAACAGGAGCGACAATCCGTCTACGGCCAAGTTCCCACCAAAACTCCAGGAGAGCGATCGCCACGTACTAAATACAGACCACCCAGCCTACGAGACATGAAACCATTACTATTCTCTTATTAAATAAGTCTGTCAAGATTAGAAGAAAGAAAGGTGTGCGGGCGGCGTGGGAAACGTAACTTAGAGATGTGTAACGTTCATATATCGATATCGATAAAGTGTTTGAATAGGTAGGTAGATATAAAATAAATTATTTTTTATCAATTACTGATTCAAAATTATTTGTTACCAAATATTCAATATTTATTACAAAATTATATTTTACCTAAAGTTAGCGGCTAACTGCCGTACTTTTGACATGCATTAGATTTAGTCCCTGATGATGAGAAGCAGATTTTCCGCTATTTTTAAAAAAATATTACGGGCGGTAAATTTCACCACGGTTTTAATACTATAATGGAAAAAGTTTTGGTCAAAGTGCTATAGTTTCGGCAGGCAGTAGGGTGACTCCCTGATGAGGAGCAGTTTTTGAAGATCTGGAGGTTTCTCCATACTTACTGTCACCCACCGATAAAATTCCCCATAAATCATTTCACCAAAACCGTAATTTCGATTTCAAATTATAATTACAAATAGATTAAATACACAAATATGTCTGTTAGTCTACACAAAAAATAATAACACTATAAATAGTCGATAAACTTGCATCGATACTTTTTTGGTCATCTCTACTTACAGGTGCCGCCTGATAGACAGAGACGCTACTATAATACTGCGTGCTAGACAAGGACAGCCTCAGAACTACGAGCAGAACAAGTTGAAGCCACACGTTTTTAGTATTTTAAGATTATTAAATGTTGCACTTACCGGTGAAACGTGATTTTATCCTTCTTGAAATTATGTTTCCTGCTA